GCAACCAGATATCAACCAGATAGCAACCAGATATCAACCAGATATCAACCATAATGAGACGAAGTGTACCATGGCGTGAATAACCACAACGATAACATCAAGACTACAAACCTACATCATATATGCATATACAAACAAGAGTATTATATATATATATATATATATATATATATATATATTGTCTACTCTTGATACACACAGTATGACGGACATGCGCACTAGGAAAGCTTCACACAGGTAGATGCGGTCATAAACGACCTCTGACACACCGCAGCGTGATATACACGATATGCAGGTATAAATATTTATTAAGGTTACATATTATAATACTCCGGTGACGAGTAGTCATTAGTCATGTCACTGAGGATACCGTACTGACTCTGCATGTTCCAGCCGGGAACACCGCGCGTCGAACAATACGCTTCAGAGTTGAAGCCTTCAAGACCCCGGATGTGCTCCTGCGGCGGGTACACCGCACTAGCGCCACCTATGTATTCTGTCGGTCGCACGTGCGAGTAGCCAACGTTGTCGTAACTCTGCAGGCTGGCGGGCGACGGCAGGTGAGGCGTCGGCAGATGAGGCGGTGGCGGTGGCTTACTGTGATCGCCGTAGTCGCTGCTGCTGCCGCCGCCCGCAGTGTTACAGACGCCGTATGTGTTCAAATGTTGCGAATTAAAGTCGTAGATGTGCGTCGTCGCGTTATGTGGCGGCACTACGTCGCTCGTCGCTCGCAGCAGTTCGTACGGATGACCCCCGCCGACGTCATCATCATCATCATCGTCGGCGGCAGCGGCGGCGACATCCGCCTGACGTCCATATTGCAGCTCCGACATTTTCCCAGGCATCGCTAGAATGACGGGTTCCTGTTTCAGGGGCTCTGTACTGCTGCTACACACGTCCGCGACGACAGCCGGCGGCGACGTAAAATCTTTCGTGCTCGACCTACTGTCGGGCGATTTCGCGCCGCCGTCGGTGTCTATAGCATTCCCTGAGGTATCCGGCGACCGGCACGCCATGTTCAACTCCGAACTGCTGTCATCGCTATTGCTCGAAGATACCTTGTTTTCGTCTTTGATATCGTCGCCAGGCTTGCCCGTAAACTGTCGCTTGTGCTTCATGCGTCTGTTCTGGAACCAGACCTTGACCTGACGCTCGGAGAGATCGAGAGAGGCGGCAATCTCGATTCTCCGCGGGCGACAGAGGTACTTGTTGAAGTGGAATTCCTTCTCTAGTTCTAGGAGCTGCGTGTTCGTGTAGGCCGTGCGCAGCCGCCTTGGTGTGCCGTTCTCATGAACTGCAGAAGATAAATACACGCGGAAGTGATAAATAGTGGGAATTATATAATATATAATATATAATACATTTTATATTATATATTATTTACTTTAATATATAATATGTATAGTTATATATATAACTATATATATTATATATGTTTTGTACCAATATTGCTAGAAATCAAAAGATGATTCTTTATTGCTGTGTGTTTTGACTATTCTGGATATGGACATATTATCGTGATGTATGGAATTATATGAAAGGGAATCATGTTCGTTATCAGGATATTCTCAGCAAAAAATCAGTAAACCGTCATCGAAATTCAACGGGCCCGCACACGTTCATAAAATAATAAACACAACGGATAAGTAATTAAATAAATAAACCACATACGCACACACGCACGCGGACACACGCACGCACGCAATCACACACATATACACACACACACACGCACACACGCACGCGGACACACGCACGCACGCAATCACACACAGTGTGTGTGTGTATAGCACACACGCACGCGGACGCACGCACGCACGCACGCAATCACACACATATACACACACACGCACACACGCACGCGGACACACGCACGCACGCAATCACACACACACACACACACACACACACACACGCACGCGGACACACGCACGCACGCAATCACACACACACACACACACACA